AGGACCACACCCGGGGGGTGTTGGCCAAAGGCCCTCCGATGCCTAAGTCAGTTCAATCGATCTGAAGAGAAACGATAGCTAAAATAGGGTACGGAGTTATATGTGTTCATGGGGTAAACCGGGCGGCCAGAGCCTTATGTAAAAGAGGGAGAGAAAGGAGGTGGCTAGGGGTTCTGAAAGATAATTTATGCAGAGTTTCAGTAGGAGTTTAGACGTACCTCAACCCTTGTGTGTGGCCATCCTTTTATAGAGGTCTTGGGAGCTAGGGTTTCAGAGGAATAATTCCGTAGATGGAAGGGAATTATTCCTCCCCAATTTGGCGAAATTTGACTAATTAGGGATTTGATTTATTTGATTTAAATCAAATCCCTAATCAGGATAGCAATAAAATCAATACCTAATTTAATTAGGTAACTCCTCCATTAATTGAGAATATTCGTAGGAATCAAATCAATCCTCAACCTAATTAGGTAACATTCTATTTAATTGGGTAACCCCCAATTAAATTGAATAATTCCCAATTAGGTCAAATAATCCCCAAATGGAAGGAATTATTTGACCTAGGGTTATGAATTAATTCGGTTCCCACAACTTACGCATTAGGGTTCTCCTAGATGTTGGCAGGCCCCTAAGACATTGGCTGGTAGTGCGATTGCCAGATGCTAGTGAGACGGTGGAATGGGTGCAGCTCTGGTACGACAAACTACCAATCACATGTTACCTATATGGCATGCTGGATCATGGCGAGAAATATTGTAGTCTATACATGGGGAAGGAGAGGGAAGAAAGTGATAAACCATATGGGTTGTGATTTCAGCATGATGTACTAGGTCCTGATTATCACAAACCCAAGGATTGACGAATGTTCTGACCAGAAGGACCAAACCACAAAGATTAAAATATAAAATCGAAGATTGTTTTGTTTTGCCTAAATGAGAAATCCAGAAAAATGAGGGCCCTCTTTAGTGTTCTTCCTCAAAGCGAATAAGGAATTACAAGGGCGCTCTCTCTTCAGTGTTAGTGTTCTTCCTCAATCAAAGTAGATAAAAAAAATGGCCTTTTAATTTGGAGGGGACGTCTGTTTTGGATGAGACGTTTTGGAGAGAGGAGAGAGAAGAAAGTCTCGTTCTAATACAACATTTCACTTACAATTGCTTTTTACGCAACCGTTAGATTAGATCCAACGGTGTTCTCATGTAATTTTCTCATATAGGTGTTCTCACTCGATAACCGCCCCTGCTAGGCCTAATTCAAGCCTAGAAAAGTTTTCCAGCTAGGCTCCTTGGAACCATGCTGCAGGCCAACGCTTACATTATTACTGAAGGAAGAAAATTTAACCTTGATTGATGGAGCCTTACGCTCATTTATTCTCACTTAATCACCTTACCATTTAGCTAACTCAAGGGCTTCAAAATTAATGTTTATATTATTATATGATACCTACCGAAGCTTTAATTTACCAAAATAATAATATGGAATTCTAACATGAAAAGATATATCCAACGCAAACACTAAAATGAGGGGATTTTAAAATGATGCGACTTCAACGTAAGGGGATGATTTCTTATAAATATGAAATTTACCAAATATTCCAGAAAATAAAATAAATGTAATTCAACATCCAAACACCCCTCTCTCTCTCTCTCTCTCTCTCTCTCTCTCAAAACACCCCTCACCTATTAATTAATTATTAACTTGAACGTAATTAAATATTCGAAGATTATTATCTACCATGTATAATTCATACCGTCAAAATGTATAATTCCTACTTATTAGTTTGAAGAACATCGCTTCTTTTTATGAGATTCCAGCAAAAACAAAACTTCTTTTTATGAGCTAATAAGGTTTTGGCATGTAAAATTGATGTCAACTACTTGACAACACGTGGTCCCATGTGTCGAACTGGGAAGTGAAGACCAGGCTTGACAATTTGTCGAACTGGCAGCGCATTGAAGATCAGAAGCCAAGCTTTGTGAAATAACACCTATTGATGTGTTACTTACTCATGGGATTTGGGCTTCCAAAGTTTCTTTTCATTTCTCAAATTCTTTTTTAAATTTTGCCAAACAAGTTACTTTGTTCGTATGGGACTTTCAAGTTCTACTTACCTCAAATCCCATCTCTAAATACATCATCCAAATACACTCTAAAAGAACTTGTTGCTAGCAAAATAAAAGGTTCGCATCCCCTTGTGTTCTTGCACTTGTGATGTAAATATTGAGATGACAGGAAAGTAAGGTATTCGGACAAAAAAAAGAAAACAAACTCAATAATAAGGGAGACAACAGGGGAAGTTAGGGGGAGGACGGCCGTGGACAGTCCTGATCCATAGGTGTCAATCTTGCCTTAATTGAACAAGAAAATTAAGGAAAGGATGTAATTGGTACATAATTGACCTTGGGGTCATTAATTAGGGAGACAAATAGGTCGGTTATTGCGTACGGGCCTTAGGGCCGGGGATACAATGTAGGGGCATCTAGTGGATTAAGCCTTTTACGGACTGAGGAGGTTGATTTACGCGCTCTTTCTTTTAGAGCTCACCATATTGATGTTGAGGTGCAGGTAGTGGGTGTGCATGGTAAATGGCTATTGACGGCCTTCTATAGTCATCCAGTAACTTCTGGGAGGCATAAGTCCTGTGATTTGTTGAGTCGATTGGGTACTGCTAGGTTTCTCCCATGGGTGTGTTTGGGTGATTTCAACGAGATATTGGCAGCCTAAGAAAAACTGGGGGGAGCGGTACGAAACGAACACCACATGAAATTTTTTAGACAAGCTATTGATGGGTGCGGCTTGAAGAACCTCAGCTTCCTGGGCCCCAATTTTACTTGGTGGCGTAACAATCGCGAGGAAATCAGAGTTCGGTTGGACGGTGTATTGGCGACCTTGGAGTGGTGCGGGGTTTTCCCACAAGCCAAAGTGATTCACTTGTACTCGTCTAAGTCAGACCACCTACCTATTCGTCTATCTTTAGGGATGGGTGTGCTCTGTAGGCACCCTAGGAAGCGTTTCTGCTGTTTTGAAGAAGCTTGGTCAAAACATGATGATTGTGTTAATGCAGTTAATGAAGGTTGGTCGAGAGGAGCACCAGAGATTGCTTTTGAGAAAATAAAATCCACACGTTTGAAATTACTTTCATGTAGCCGTGAGGGGTTTGGACTCCACCTGTTCGAAAAAAGGCCTCCTAGAGTTCCTTTCCTTTGTTGCGCCACTGCGTGCAGCGCACTTTTATATACATATTTTAAAAAAATTCTGGCCAAAACAACGTCGTTTTGGACCAAGGAATAAAAGTTCCGTACTTTAGATGGAAAAGAAGGAGGAAGCTCTTTTAGCAATAAGGAGAATTTGCTTTTTTTTTAAAAAAAAAGAAAAAAAAGAAAAAGAAAGAGTCCCTTTTTGAGAGATTCTTTACATCCCCACCAAGCTAAGGATTG